CAAGCCAGGCTTTTAACCCCTTAATGAAGGCTCTCTCCTCTCTGGCCTTTGTGTACAATGCATCCCAAAGAAAACAGGCCACTCCCAGGAGTCTAATAAGCAAGTCACCCAAATTAATGTCCTGGCATAAAAATGTAGACCAAAAAACTAACCCTATAAAAATGATGCACTATTAAAGGATCCATAATCTAAGTTTTACTTTAGGCAAGTTGCCACTGATTCAAGCTCAGTGGGCTTATAGGTAACTTTTTTCTGTACTGTTGATGGAATAAGAAAAACTAGAAAGGGGGGAAAAAATCCCCAAGGTTGGGAAATGACATCCAAATGGAATAAAAATGTAATCTAGACCAAAGAAGGAAAAACACATCAGGACCCACTGCTCTGTTTCAAGCCTAGGAGAGGATAAATGCCACTTAAAGGTGTAAGGAAAAGTCAACCGGACATTCATTTTCAGAAGGAAATTACCGATCGAACAGGTATTGAGGGTGTTTTCTGTCAGAGATGGTTTCTAAAGAAAAGCAAGGGACAGGGTCAAATATTTCAAATTACCTTTTCAACCAGACAGTTCTTATGATCTCAGTAATATCTGCTGAGGAGAGAGGAAACACAAGATTTTAAGAAGAGCCAGGAAGATTTACAAAGCTCAAGGCGGGCAGCGTCAGGGCTGCGTTCCCTCCAGGCCCGCACACCGAAATCTGAGGCACCCCGTCCAGACTCAAGAGACACCCAGAGCCCATGCAGAGCACCAGGGCGGCCTGGTCCCCACATCCAGCTCTCACTCTTAGGCTGATTCCAAACACAAGACCTCATTTTTTCCAAAGCAAGAGGATAGGAAGGTAGGTCACCAAGTACATTTTTTCCAAATGGCCCAGGTCGGTCACCATGTGTGGTGTGATGAAGGGTCCCCCAGTACACAGCTGGGTGTGCTGAGCCCCTCCCTCCTCTCACTGCCCAAACTGGCCCCGCCCCCTGCTCCCACCTCCCCAGGCCATTGCCTAGCTGGTCCTCAGAGTGGGTGCTTGCTGATGAGGTAAAAAACACTCAAGACAGAACCCTTGGGTTCTGTAAAGTTCACTAGGAACTAAAAAAGCGTCTGGGACCTCACAAGCTCATGGCAATCCCTGGGGCAAGAAGCAACTTTTTATTTTGCTGGAGAGAATCAAGCGGCAGAAGCCTTAAGTCTAGAAAGTGTTTTTTGTTTTGTTTTGTTTTGCCTTTCGCTACCTGTTTAATGTCATTATTTTCCTATAAACAAGATAGGGAGAAAACAACAGGCGGCAGCAAAGGACTTCACGGTTGCTTGGTTTGGTTGCTTGGTTTTGAACACGGAGGCACGATGGGGACCACTTAAACCATCACTGACTCCCAGAATCACTGAGCTGGCCACACACTGCCTCCACATGCTATTCATCTTTAGGGAAGATCTTGCATAGCCAGAGATTAGAACCCGGTCCACCTCTTAAACACATGCAGGGGTAAGGAATTTCTTCCCAAAGAGCACACGAGTGTCTACAGGAGAAGGACCACACGTAGGATGTGACACACGGAGGCATTATTCCAGGCTTACTGGCTGCAAGTGAGAATTCACACATGTGCGCAAAGGAGTTGGTGCTTCCTCTCCCCAGGAGACTGCCTGTGGCTTAACTGAAGATCGAATCACTAAGAAAGCATCAAAGAAAGACCGATGAAACTGCAAATTTTAAAAGAGTTGACATGTTTTCAGTGGAGTCAAAAGCTCTCACCAGAAGCATCCAACACATCAGACTTACCACCTCTACCCATGGGCAAGAGCATCCTTGCCAGGGACTGTCATGGTGCCCCCGAGGGCTGGGGGTGGGCTCTGCCTCCCGGAGCTGAACCCTCAGAGCCATGCTGGGTCCTCACTGGCTTCCGTGTGGCTGGGCCAGACTCTGCCCCTAAGGGCACTTCAACTCTGCTTGCTGAGAAAGCAAGGTGTTGGGGCTGGACAGGTTACACTATCCCTGCCTTTTGGTAGGCAAAGGTCATCCCTCTTGGACAAGTATTGCTGCACAGAGTAAAAATCAAAAATAAAATACTTTGTATCAAACTTCTGTGAGAGTGTAATCCATACTGCCTTTGTCCTTCCCTGGCTTTCTATGAGGCCAGTGAGGGTCTTTAAGCCTCCATGACTGTAATCCTTCTGTTTGCAAGGGAAAGACCTCTCCCTCCATGTCTTCAGCAGTGAGAAAAGACACAGGAGAATCGGAGGGAAAAAATACCACATCAACCGAATCAGTGCCAAGACCAACCTTCCCTGAAGACATCAGTGTCTGCGTCCATCCAAAACCCCCAGAAGTTCCCCGAGATGCTTGCGGGTTTCAACCACACTGTCTCCAGGAACAAATTCCAACTTACACAGCAACTGCAGTTCCCATCAAGTCTGGCTCCCACTATGAAAGCCAGCATCATCCTACCAGAAAGCTGAGAAACATGAAGATTGCCTTAGCCTTAAAATCCCCCAAACCAAATCGACGTGGTCCATATTGGAACTATTAAATGCACACATAGGCTTCCTTCAATTTGGAGAAAAGGAAAAAAAAAAAAAAAAGGCCTGTTAAGCCCCCCTACATCTAGACTGTCTTGTTTGTACACAGAGGCAACACAAGGAAAATGCAGGCGGCATCACACCCGCACTAGACAGCCGAATTCCCTCCACCAGCGCTCACTGCCACACTGCCCAGCGCGACCATCTGTGTCACCACGTCACCCGGGTTTGTGAGCTAGAGAGCGGGCCTGGCCGCTGCTGGGTTTGCTGGGAGCTAATTAAATATAAAGAAATGTATTTACAAAAAGCATGGGGGAACCTCATGGCACAAAAGATATTAAATAGTTACAGGGACATAAATAATTCCGAAGATTCTAACACTACGATGCAAACTGACTCTAAGCCCCTCTGTGGCACAAGATGCTGTCACTTGTTATCAGCTCTAAGCCTTTACAGTTCTGACGGACTTCAGAACCATTTCTTGCAGCTTTCAACACATCCTCAGGAGACCAATAGGCCCTTTTTCACCAGACAATAAACTGGTTTTATTGTAGTGACTTGGGAAAACTTAGGCAGCGAGCCTGCCTGAGTGGTATTCTTCCCACCCCCCCACAATCTCACTTCAAAGGCGGCTTTTTAGTAAGACCAAGTAACACGATTCCCGGCAGATTGCTGATAAAGCTCAGGGTGGTCTTCCCCAGTGGGCCCCGTTGAATGCAGGGCTGAGTCTTCGCCACCCTGTGTCTAACTGGAACTCTCAGAGGGAGATAAGCCCATTTTTGACCATGCAGACACACTCAACAAATGCAGAATAAATACACAAAAGGAGCAGATAAAATCCAGATGTCCTAATCTCCCCCAAAGTCACTGCATCTACTAAGTTCAAAGTCTGCGACTCCTGACTGGTACTGCCTCACAACACACACACGGGCCGGGGGCTCCATCCCACCTGCGGGGGAGCGGGGGTCTGCACGGGACACAGACAAGGAGCTTGCACATGTGACCCAGGCCACTGCCCCAGAAAGGAAACACAGCAGAATTCCAGTCGTACTGGATGGCCTGTCTGCGGGGCTAACCCCTTGCCCCCACTCTTCAGAACTGCAGGCTGAGCAGTGGGACCTGCACTGGGAAATCAGAGGCATGGGCAGGGCTGGACGCTTTCTCACCTATGCTGTGTCCCCCCCACCGCCCAACACACTCACGTCTGCTTCCCCCTTACACGGTGCCCGGCCACCACTGCCATCGTCCACCACTCCGCGAGGTTGTCCCGTGGGCTCTCCCGGGGCTGCACACTTGTCCCCCCAGCAGGACAGGTCTCCTCTCGAGGGATGGCCAAACAGAATAAGTAGAGTGAGAAGAAGGTCTGTAAACATTAACAGTTCAGAGAGGGGAAACCAACAAGGTAAAACAATTTTTCTGTGAACAATACAGATAGTCTCCAACAGGAAGAATACGAAGGACAAAAAACACTACACTATAGGATCAGAGGGGCTCAATGAACACATTCACTACATAACCTTCACTTTCTCAAGAATCCGTTCAAAATCTGACATCACCAGAATTCTTCCCAACAACTTCCAAGATCAGTGTTCATAGTTAGGACCCTGAGGCACGAAAGCTACAATCTGTGCCTCCCGAAACATCAGTGAAACCATGTGTCGTGGTGGGAATTCAAGTATTTTCAAATCCTAGACAAACCTACTCAGAATCACTTTACAACTGTCCTCAGGCATTCAAAAATTAGCACACGTCCCTAAAACAGAGATGTGTCCCCACCCGTGGTCCATGAAGCCAGCAAATGGGCAAGCATTCTGGCTGATGGAATGGACTGTACTTTTTTGTGTGACTTTTACCTGAGAAGGTAAAACTGCAGGAAGTCTGCAATTCGGCCTCCAAGTAACAAGGGTGGGTAGGAAACTGGAAAACAGGATGGTCCCATATTCCTGGAGGAGATCGTGGGATTCGGGGAGGTGACGCATGGGAGGAGCAGTGGAGTGAGTTCTCAGCAGGGCGGGAACCAAAGGGCGACCTTCCCGCATGCCAGCAGGCCTGCCGGGCTGTGCCAGGAGGACAGCAGCTCTTCCCATCCCCGTAGAGTCCAGACCCGGCAAACAGCTCCAGCAGCACACCCGGGGCCAAACCCTCGGTGTCTCCACGGCCCAGGGATGGAAGACGAGGAGCAGGGGAGGGGTCCGGGGGGAGGACTCCACGCTGCCCTGGGGCCCGCGGGGGGCCTGGCCAGCGACTACTGCTGGCTCTTCACCCCTGCACCTTCAGTCCTTGATTTTTTTTACCCCTCTTAGCAGCTCCCATTAATCCAAAGTCTTGACTTGTCACAAAAACATGGGACAGGGTGGCTCAGCGTCAGATGTGAAGCCTGTACTCGGGGACAGTGAGGACCTAGAGGAGATACGGCAGCCAGTGAGGCTGGCGGCTCCGACAGCTACCAAATGCTGGAGAAGCTGCGGGCCTCTCCCAGCCGCCCCCGCCCCCGTCTCAGCAGCTGCTGCTGGGGTCCCGCCTCACAGACCCGCCAACAGGGCCACTCTCTGAAAACCCTTTCCCGGAATGAACTTTTACCAAGAGGACAAAATTCAGCTTAATCACAGGAAAATCTGACATGACGAGGAAAAGAAAACTTGGTTGGAAGGGTGGGCACGAGGATGAGAGGGAGGAGGGCCCCTGGGGCTCATGTGTCCAGGCGCTGAATCTCAGGGCGACCGTCCACGTCTCTGGACTCCGTGCGGGCCCGGATGTAGTCACTGGCGCTCTGCTGGTGGACACTGACTCTCCATTTCTGCACCGCCAGGAACGTGTTCACCGCATACACCGCAGTTGCCAAGAAGCCAAATATCTACAAAACACGGGCACGGTTAGTCCTCGGACCATTAGTCGTCGACGGGGTGTCCGGGCAGGACCGGCCCCGAGCGGCTCTTGTTGACCTGAGCCGTCCCCACAATGCCCAGACCCACTGTCATCTGGCTGTCGGACAACAGCCAAGAGTGCAGTTAATCATGATGCCCAGAAAGTCCTGCCTGTCCAGAAACAGACAGCCTGAGGTTTTCTCTTCAAGTATTTTGGATCTACGAAACACAAACACACACACAATTCACAGAAGTGCCTCGTTTTCGTGGCCACTGGTCTCAGGTAAGAAAGTACAATGTAGCCAAAATACCAAACAGAGAGAAAATGAGTGTCAAGCCACAACGCCTGACGTCCCAAACTGTGTCCCCCAAGCCTCTGCCTGCTGCCCAGATGCCTTCCCCTGGACAGCCCCAGGTGGGCAGCTCCTCCGAGAGCAGCAGCAGAATTTTAATGATTTCCTAATGACGGATCAACCTACCGAGTGACACTTGGGTGAACAGCTTGTTCCGTGTTTTTTTACAAACCTTTCGAACTCCCCTTCACATCACGAAAGTGCTGCCTGTTCATTATAAATACAGAACAACACAGAAATGCAAAGCACAGAGAATCAAGGTCTTAACATGATCTGCTTCCTACCCTGCCTGCAAAGGCATTCTACCTTGAAGAGCAAAAAAAAAAATGTCATCTGACTGCTAAATGGCATCAGGACTGCCCTCTCCTTCATTAAGAGCCCCACACCCACAGATCAGGCTCTTAAAAGCAACAACACTGACAGACACCCAGGGCTCTGTTGCGAACTGACAAAATAAGTGATTCTCAAATTTGAGTGTCCACCTGAAGCACCTGGAAGTCTTGTTACAATGTATTTCTGGTTCAGGGGCTCCGGGAAAGCACAGTCGACTGAGGGTATGATTCCTAGTTCTTAGCTCAGGTCATGATCTCAGGGTCGTGAGATCAAGCCCCGCATCAGGCTCCATCTGTGCTCAGTGCAGAGTCCGCTTGGGACTCTCGCTCTCTCTCCCTCTGCCCCTTCCCACCATGCTCTCTTTCTCAAAGAGATAAATAAATCTTTAAAGTAGGGGGGGTGCATTTCTGATTCAGTAGCTCTGGGGGAGCCTGGGAATGGCCTTTTTTTTTTTTTTTTTAAAGATTTTATTTATTTGACACAGAGAGATCATAAGTAGGCAGAAAGGCAGGCAGAGAGAGAGGAAGAGAGAAGCAGGCTCCCCACCAAGCAGAGAGCCTGATGTGCGGCTCGATCCCAGGATCCTGGGATCATGACCTGAGCCAAAAGCAGAGGCTTTAACCCACTGAGCCACCCAGGAGCCCCCGGGAATGGCCTTTCTAAAAAGTTCCTTGGTGATGCAGAGGCTGCTGTTCTGGGGACCACACTTTGAGAACCACAGCACTAAAGGAACCAGGACCTCCACTGTCTCAGTAACATCATCATTAGCAAAGAGAAAGCCCAAGAAGAACAAGCAGGACACATGCTAGGGGACAGAGGAGAGCCCGTCACAGTGTGTATGAATTGGCCTGTGTTTTCACCAGCCAAGTGCACTTACCACAGCAGCGATTTCTGCCCCAGTTTGGTGGTTTAAAGAAGCTAGTACGGTCGAAGCGATAAAGAAAAAGAAAGTGCTGAGTCCAGTGTTGACCAAATCCTAAAGAAAAAATAAAGTCACTTGAAAAGAATTTTTTATGCTTTGCCCTGAAAGCAATGGAAGGATTTTCAAAATAAGAAGCACAACATCCAGCCTCTCTGATGGTTCTGCAGTTTAATCCTGAAGGCCCAGGGGTGCTGGCCCCATGGAGGGAGGCAGAGATGGGACCGGTGTATGATGTACATCACCTGATAGGTCACCACGGCAAAATTCATGTTTTAACCAACCACACAGTCATTTCTTAGTGAATTTTTCTAGAAACCCAATGGCTAACCCATCAAGGACACGCAGCTTCATTGCCATTCAGAATTCTATTGTCATCTTTAAAAAAAAAAACGTTCAAAACACCTTGGCATGGACAACACTCCCCGGGAGTCCAGAATATACCAAAACTGGCGATATCCCCTCCAACGTGCCCTCGTTCATGTGTGACATTCCGAGCACACTGTTTTCCAACCTAGACAACACACTCAGCCGGACCTCACGCTCTTGCTTACACAGTCTTTCAAGGCTCTGTGTGGCTAAAACCCAGAGGATTTTCTCCTAAGCTCTCTGAAAAGCAAAGGAGGTTACACATCCAATGCTTCCAAGATTGAACTCTTTTCTTAGTTGTTGAGAGGAACGGAGCACAGCGATTAAGTGTCACAGCCCAACTGGGACCTAACCAGGCACGACGTGGGATAACCCATTTCACTTCTTGTGTCTCATGTGAGAACAGCACCCACGCCTCACGGAGTTCTCCTAGGGCCCCGGGGGAGCCACGCAAGGCCCCCAACAGCCTGGGCCATGCCAGAGCCCCTCTATCATCTCCACAGAGGAAGAACCCAGAGAACACGGAGAACATGTTAGACTGTTTAAGTGCCCGGGGTGGGGGCCCTCAAGGGCCATCTCCTCTTTCTAAAGATGCACGAAGAACAACGTTCTCATCACGAAGGTACTGAGCATGTGCGGCAGGAAGCCCATCTCCCTCCTGGCATGGGCTTCTGAGGGGGCTCACCATGGGCTGTGAGTACCCACAACTACAAAACTATCCAGAAATGTCGGCCAGCGGGGCCACTTTTAGCTGTGGCCAGTGTTCAGCAAGGGCAGATTTTTCACAAATTCCAACCAGGAAGTGTTTAGTTAGAATGCTCAGTTCTGCATAAGGTGCTGTAAGGGTAACGAAGACTATAAAATGTCCTTTCTGAACCAAAGACTATTCAGAAGTGGGGGGCACGCTTTACGATACAATGCTGAGGTCAGACATCAAACAACATTATATGTACATCAGGGGCGACAACAGAAACATACACGTGTGGTCAAGGGCCTACATGCCCTTGCTGGTTCATGCTATTTGTCTATGTGATTTCCACATTTGGAAATTCACTTTCAGTATCACGCTAGTGCAGAAAGGTCCAAGTATAAGGACGTTCGTGGTAGAGCTTAAAATAGCAAAAAAAAAAAAAAAAAAATCGGAAGCGAAGAAAATGCTCACGAACTGGGGATTTGTGAAATAAAATGGTATCGCCACAATGGAACACTATGTGGTCATTAAAAATAATGATGCAGCTGTACGTTTAGCATGGAATATACCTAAGATAGTTTAAGTGAAAAAGTGTGATTCTGATGGCTCCATTCTCCCTGCTTCACACATCACTACGTAACGCCAATGGGAAAGCTAGTCTACCTGGTCTGGAAGGTTGTTATACCAAGTAATACAAGTGGTTATCCCGATGGGTTCTGTCCTGTAGGAATTTTTGACAGCTTTACTGAGATGTGACTCATATGCCACATACTATGCCCAATTAAAATGCACAATTCAAGTCACCACGATCGCATTTTAGAACATTGTCAGCACTCCAAGAAGAAACTCATCAGCAGGCAGTTTTCCATTCCCTCCCCTAATCCTAGGCAACCACTACTCACCTGCTTTCTCTCTCTGTGTCTTCCTGTTCTGGACACTTCATATAAATAGAATTATATATTATGTGGTCTTTTGTGACTGGCTTCTTCCACTCAGGAGGACGGTTCTAAGGATCACTCCTGCTGGGTCACGGATCAACACTTCTCTCCCTTCCTGAGTAGACCATATTCCATCGTACGGATACACCGTGTTTTTATCTACCTTCTTGTCCGTCTTTGGACACATGAGTTATTTCTACTTTCCAGTTATTTTGAATGACCCTCGTGTGAACTTACAAGGTTTTGGGGAGATGTATGTTTTCACTGGCCTTGGATCATCACATGATTTTATTTTTTTATTACCTGCATCTTCCAGCTTTTCTGTAACAGACACTGCTCGGGACAGCTTAAGAGACTTAAAAGTGGAATACTATGGTTGTGGGTCAGCATCAACTACTGGAGTTCCTTGTCCATGAAACAAAAATCAAGGTTTGCAGGTTCATCCTTCACCCTGGGGGAACACACAGACATGCCCTCTGACTGGGCTTTGGTGGGGTTTTAGTCAACAATGGTGACCCATTTTTTTTTTAAATATAGAAGTAACATTTTATTTAATATTTATTTATTTATTATTATTATTTTTTTAAGTAGGCTCCACACTCAACATGGAGCTTGAACTCACAACCTTGAGATTAAGAGTCAATGCAGTCCACCTACTGAGCTAGCTGGGTGCCCCCTAAAAGTAATAATTCTTGATATCTACCTTCACCAGCTCCAATTTAATGTACTCCTCAATACACGCTTTCATTTAATTCTCACATCAAGCCTATGCAGTAGATATTCCCATTTTACAGGAATGGGCTGAGTCTTTCAAGAGTTCAGAAACTTGACCAATGAGGTGATCCATTTTTTTAATGCAATTTTTTTTTAATGCTTTTACTGGGATGTGTACTCTCTCAGCCACATGCTTTCCAGTTTGCCCCAGCCATCCCTACTCCCTATCGTCTCACACCTCCCACCACTTTATGCTTCTAGTCTGGCCCCTAGAACACCCAAGGGTGTAGACCGTCCTTGTGCTAGGAGATGAAGAGGAAATCCACCCTCCCAAACACAGACTTCCGGGTGTCTCCTTCGCTGACACACTGGTAGATACAGGGGTGAGCCTCTCTAACTCCACTAACAGGTCAACAGGATGTGGCCTAGAGGGTGTGAACCCAAGGCCTACTGGCCATATCTGGTCCACAGACGGGTCTGACATGCACAGCACTCCAAACAAATTTGAACACACCAACATCTAAACACCAGAAGACTGCACATAAAAACTAACCTCTTAAAGAAAAAGAAAAAAAGAAGCTTCTAGCTGTTCTTGAAAAGCTGTTCCAGAAACGCCCGGAAGCAACGACACAGTCAGCGGGGACTGGGAAGGAGAGCCACCTGCCCTGTCGCCCCATCTCCGGCCCATCTGCTCAGGTGCCCAGCCCTGGCAGGCCCACCGTCTCCAACCCCATCTCCATTCCAGAGAATGGGCCATCCAGCAATGTGCCCTCCCCATCCGTCCACACTCTGGGCCCAGTGGGTACCCACACAGCTTTCAAGGCCCAGCTGGCATCTGGCTGCTTCTCTGAACATTCCCCTGCTGACACCCACTCCAGGCTTCTGCCCCAAGGCATGTACTGCCTCTTTGCCTGTGTTCCACCAGGACTTACACAAAGCTGCGTCTCACGAAGCACACTGACCAAGGGGCGAGCAGCTTGTACCGACCCACCCCATGCTTTTGGTTCCCAAATCCCAGCACAAAGCAGGTGTCCAACAGATGTCTGCTGGACTGGCCACAGGTGAGACAGCTGTAACAGGCTCAGGCCCCAGGCTCTCACTGCAGTTGCCCCCAAACCACGAGGATCTGTGGCTGGCTCTGGTGTCAGCTCTACACATGGATGCAAATGGTCAATGACTTTAACTCAATCATGCCTGTGTAATGAGCTCTCCACGAAAAGCCCCAAACCACGGTGTGCGGGGAGCTTCTGAGCTGGTGCTGCACCCCCACCCCATAAGGACAGAAGCTCCAGAACGCTGAGACTCTTCTGGACCCTGCCCGACACATACGCATCCCTTCCGTCTGCCTGCTCCTGAGTTGTACCCTTTCTGGCAAACCAGTGAGCCTAAGTACAGCACTCCTCCCAAGCTCTGTAAATTGTTCTACAGAATTACAAACCCCAGGAGGCAAATCTGCACTCGGTGCAGGTTCCCCGGGGAGCCCCGTTTGTGGCAGGTGTCTGAGCAGGGGCAGTCTCCAACTGGGCCCTTCTCCCGGGGATCTGTGCCAACTGCAGAAGTTAGCGTCGGAACGGAGCTGAATTTTCGGACACCTTGTTAGTGTCAAGAGAATTAGAGATCTGCTTGGAGTGGAAATACTACACAGATTCAGTTGTCAGAAAAAAAAAAAAAGACCTATATTTGGTGTGAAAAGGGGTGTCAGGAAACATTATACCATGAGTCATGGCCAAGGCCTTGGGGCTCTGCAGGTAGACCCTCTGGGTGATTCAGACTGTCCCCACTCAACAGCCAACCTGGGTTCTTGATCGTGCAAGGTCTGTGGAGTGAGCAGGGGCCACCGAGGCACGGAGGAAGAAGAGCCAGGACAGTCTGGTGTCATGGCAGGCAAGAGCGGAGAGTGCAGCAGAAGGGACACAGAACATTCCAGGGCAGTTCTGCTCGCACTGTTCAGTGGAGGGGGCGGGGGGTGGGGGTACGGAGACAGAGGAACAGCCAAGGGATCCAGGACCATGGAGGCCCCAGTGATCCCGACCAGAGGACTTTCAAGGATGTCAGGTGTCTCTCTTGACCCAGGTGGATGCTCCACAGCCTGTATCAGTCTTTATTCAACGGTACATTTTAGCGCGTTTTCTGAGTGAGCTGTATTTGACAGTAAGAGGTGAGAAAACAGAGATGGGAAGGAGGGAATAGAGCACAGACCTCCCTCCTTGTTAGAAGTTCGGAGAAGCAGTCCATGACGGGACTCAGCGAGCTGGCTAAGGAGAGTGGGAGCCCCTAGCCGGCTTTCAGTAGCAGGCGGGGATGGAAGAGAGGGGTGGCTGGAGGGAGGAGGGCTGGGCACTAATTAAGGTAAACACGGGTGGGACACAAAGGTGTATGAGCCCCTAATATACAGAGAAAAACAAGTATCACCAGGTAAGTCCCACAGATTCATCAAAATCAAGCAAATCCAGAGCTAACAGAATCTTTCTGCTTGCATCAAATAATGCTTATATAAAATATATACTTTGCAGCTTCCTCCTTATTTACCATTTTCCATGAATATTTTTGTGTCAACAAAGGCTCCTGAAATCACCATTTTTCTAACCCTATACCAATCACACCCTGTTTCACTCATTAGCCATAACTGGCTCTATGAGGACAAAATATTCCCACCACCTTGTTAGAGAAAAAACACGGTCAAGGCCAACCCTCTGTAGCGACTCAGTGAGCTGTGTCCAGCCCTGAAGAACTTACTTTTTTCTCCCCTCCCGGAGAACAGATGACCTGAGCTCCCCTCAGTAAGTACAATTCCTCAAGTTCATGTACTCATGCACTCTTCTGTTGAATAAGCATACACCTTCATCTGCTCCAAAAGGGTGGAAATTCTGGAAAGGATCCCAGAGGACTGAAAGTGTTCTCAAGTGACTGTATCACACATAGGCGTGTGCCCTACCCAATGCTGTCCAGGAGAAGATCATGTACGCGAACTTCCCAGTGAAAAAGATGCACATCAGTATGACCCAACATGTGGTAGCCACCAAGAGGGAAAAGCCCTTCATGTTTAAAACAGAAAAATCAAGGGACGCCTGGATGGCTCAGTTGGTTAAGCAGCTGCCTTCGGCTCAGGTCATGATCCCAGCGTCCTGGGATCGAGTCCCACATCGGGCTCCTTGCTTGGCAGGGAGCCTGCTTCTCCCTCTGCCTCTGCTTCTGTCTGCCTGTGCTCGCTCTCTCTCCCTCTGTCTCTGACAAATAAATAAATAAAATCTTTAAAAAAAAATAAAATAAAACAGAAAAATCAGAATTCTAGCAAGCTCACTAAAGAGGTATTTCTGGAGATAATGGCCAGTATGAATTAGTTATTAAGCTGCAGTATGAAATCTTTTAACAGATTTATAGCTGTCAAATCAGCAGATAAGACTGAATGAGGGATTGAAGCCAAACCTGGCAGAAGTCTGCAGGGGAAACGTGGTTGGTAGGAGACCAGGGCCCCTTGCCTGTGGTCATATTAATTTCTCTCAGAATGGCAGCTGCGTACACAGGCTTGAGGTCCCTTATACGCACGGTCTCATTTCATTCTTAAAACAACCCTATAAAACAGTGTTGTCTCTACTTTACCAACAGTGGCCTTCAATATGGGGCTCTAAGTGGAGTCCGCTTGGGTTTCCCTCTCTTGCTCTCTCTGCCCTTTTCACCCTAACCCTTGCACGCACTCTCTCTCTCTCTCAAATAAATAAATAAAATCTTTTTTTAAAAAAATGGTGAGGGGCCCCTGGGTGGCTCAGTCGTTAAGCGTCTGCCTTCGGCTCAGGTCATGATCCCAAGGTCCTGGAATCGAGCCCCGAATCATGCTCCCTGTTTGGCAGGAAGCCTGCTTCTCCCTCTCCCACCTCCCCCTACTTATATTACTTCTCTTGCTATGTCTCTCTGTCAAATAAATAAATAAAACCTTAAAAAAAAATAGGTGATGGGCGCCTGGGTGGCTCAGTGGGTTGGGTTAAAGCCTCTGCCTTTAGCTCAGGTCATGATCTCAGGGTCCTGGGATGGAGTCCTGCATTGGGCTCTGCTCAGCGGAGAACCTGCTTCCTCCTCTCTCTCTCTCTCTCTCTGCCTGCCTCTCTGCCTACTTGTGATCTCTGTCTGTCAAATAAACAAATAAAATCTTAAAAAAAAAAAAAAGTAGGTGACTCACACCAAAAAAAAAAAAAAAAAGTTGAGACGGTAAAACCTGTAACAAAACCAGGACAAAACCAGCTGAGTTTTCATCTGATACCAGCTTTTCTAGTTCAGCTCTGCTTTTCTTCTCCCTCCTAGAAGCTCGACCACCACACAGAATATTCTGTGGGAAGACCCTCTCCTCTCCATAGGCCACAGGATCACCGTGGGAGGGGCCCTGTCAGGCAGGGTGACCAGCCCCACCTCCTCCCAGGCTCCCTCCCCACAGTGCTGCACACACCCAGCACAAGGCAGCAGAAGGGGAGCTCCCACAAGGGTAGGTAGTCTGCAGCGCCCTGCTCTGCTGCTGCCACCATGCGCCCTCTCGGGGTTGGGGCCCCACAGGGCTCTCCTCCCAAAGGCACATGTGAGGCAGGTGATGGTGCTTTCCTGTGATTCTCTGACTGATTCCCTTTGAGCCCTTGCACATGCTTGTTTGCAAAGAAACATCAAGAAAACCAAAGTTATGCCACTGCCTTTGGCTCAGGTCATGATCCCAGGGTCCTGCCATCAAGTCCCACATCATCGGGTTTCCCCTGCTCTGCAGGGAGCCTGCTTCTCCCTCTCCTTCTGCCTGCCATTCCCCCTGCTTGGGTCGCGCTCTCTCTCTCTCTCTCTCTGTCAAATAAATAAAATCTTTAAAGGAAAGAAAGAAAGAAGACCAAGCGCTACTAAGTTTCCATTCTCACTGAGCAGGATAAGGAAAAGTAACACAAGACCGGCCTGGGCGTGACCAGCCAGGAGCAGCTGGGGCAGACCTGAAGGCGAGGCTGTCAAAGGGGGTTAAGAACCCAAACCCCTGAGAGCTCAGGCTTCCACTCAAAACTCTGATCAAAGCACAGAACCCTCCGTGTCCTCCCAGTTGTCTTTGAATTTAATGCTAATCCTAGGCTTTGCAAGTCACTGGCATATTCATTCGTATTTTCAACTCTTCCCAAATCAATGCTTTTGTAAATGGCTTTTGGGTCCAGTGTGAAAAATATACAAACGTATTAATTCCATTTTTTTCTTTCCAGGTTCTGCAAATATCAACATTACCAATCTGATCAGAGGAGCATAAAACTGAAACGACATCTTCCAAGGGGGCAAATAATTGCTATACGACGGCTCTACTGTTGGTGAAGAGTCAACTTACTTTACAGTTTTACTCAACCCAGTGGAGAAAGTCAAACTCTCACAGCTGCATGCCAGTAAACCCAGTATCAAAGAAATGGGCACCAAACAAGAAGGCGGAGAGATTCCGGGCTGCCCTTGGAGCTGGGCAGCACCCGGTCCTTTTAGGGTCAGAGCGCGCTGGGGGCTTGTACTCACGGTCAGGTTCCAGTTGATCTGGGGGATCCTCATGTGGAGGTTCAGACTGAACAGGATCAGCAAGACTCCCGTCACCACAAATGTGCTACAGCTCACAAACTCAAAAAAGTAGAGGCCTTCACACGGGGAGCACTCCATGATGGTCTCTATGCAGATGAACGCAATCAGGGCCAAGATCTAGGAAGAAAATTGGAAACACACACACGTGTGTATATTTAGTACCCGTCCGTGGACATATGTGCCTGCCACATTTAAATAAAACCCCACTGCCACCGCCATATGCGGCCAGTAGTCCTCAGGGGACGGCAGTATCGCTGTCAGGAACAGGACCTGATGAAATTCTTACGTAGCAACAGGTATGGCGGCCTTCGCAAAGGGATCAAGTCCTAACGTGGACACCTCCGCCCCGCCGTGGTCCCCGGCCACTGTCTGGGGGTGGCTCGGGCCCTGGGAGGAAACAGAATGGCTCTGCCATGTGTGTTCAGTGCTTCCTCCGCCACCAGTAAGTGGTCGCGGCCGACACACGTTTCTCATTTCAAGTCCCTACCACAATTATGCTGATGCCAAGAGGGCAGGGTCCAAATGGTGTCTGTTTATGCCATCTGCAGCTACCCTGGGGGTTCAGGCAGAGGTCAAGCAGGTGGTCGGGGACCCTGGAGGGCTTTAAAACAGGAAAGGATGCGAATTATCCCCTCTTCTCCCAATTACAAGCGCCTAAAGGCGAGGCCCACCTAATTCATTCACAAGCTATGCTTTTTAAAGGCGATCACTGGGCTTGGCCATTACAAAGTCGGAACAACAGCTTATAAAAATGCTGAAAAATTGGGGCGCCTGGGTGGCTCAGTCAGTTGGGTGGCTGCCTTCGGCTCGGGTCATGATCCCAGCGCCTGGGATGGAGCCCCATATGGGGCTCCTTGCTCAGCGGGGAGCCTGCTTCTCCCTCTCCCTGCCTGCACGCCACTCCCCCTGCTTGTGCTCTCTCTCTCTATCTCTCTGTGTCAAATAAATAAAATCTTAAAAAAAAAATGTTGAAAAATCTACCAATAACGGCACCAATTTCTTCCTGAAGGACCAAAGTAACATTCCAGCAATATGTCCTAAGAGCTTGGAGATCATAGTCAAACAGGTATCGGTGGAAATCACCATGTGAGCTTTTTTTTTTTTTTTAAGATTTTTTTTATTTATTTGACAGACAGAGAGCACTAGTAGGCAGAGAGGCAGGCAGAGAGAGAGGCGGGGAAGCAGGCTTCCTACCGAGCAGAGAGCCCAATGCGGGACTTGATCCCAGGATGCCGGGATCACAACCTGAGCCTAAGGCAGCAGCCCAGCCCACTGAGCCACCCAGGAGCCCCACCATGTGAGCTTTTAAAGAAAGATTTCAGGAGAAGGAGGCGGCCCAAAGGCTCAGTGGATGGCCCAGGGAGCAATGAAAGGTCAGGTGATCTTGCACCAAAAACCAGATCGATCTTGGGCTCCTGGCCTCTACTCTAGCACTTCTCCAACCAAGTACCTCGCAGCCCACCTCATGTCCAGCCTGGGTCAGAACGTGAGGCGACCCCCACTGCAAAGGTCCAGGACGTGTAGGCAGGCAGCTCTATGGTCCCAGATCTGTCTTCAGAGCCAGCAACATCGGCATCACCAGAGAGCCAGCTAGAAGTACAGAATTTCTGCCTCTCCTCCTTGATCTATGCAGTCAGAGTGACAAGATCCCCAGATTATTGAAGTGTGGGGAACACAATGCAGGGGCTGTTCTGTGGCCCTTCTCTGCCTCCTGGAGTACCATGCATGCCTTTCAGGGCGCTACTCAATGCCACCTCCTCCCCATGCCTTCCCTGATTGTCTCTCCCCCTGCCAGACATTATTTGATTCCACCCTCTCCCAGGAAAGCGTGTTCATCTGTGACTGCATTCTACCTTTTTTTTATACTTGACATTATGCGTCCCTCTGCCTCCTGAGCTTTCTGAGGACAGGGCCCAGCCCATCTCTCTCCACCCCAGGTACCAAGTGCAGTTACTTGCACACCGTCAACAAACAGGGTGGGGGTGGGCTTGGCAGGGTCTCCCCGTAAGAGCTAGGGCAGGGCAGCTCCACTCTATCGATTATCCATATTTGTGCCCAGCAATCATAAAAGACACGTCTCCTATCAATTTGTGGTTCACAGTGTAAGTCAGCACATTAGAGACAGGAGTCTTTAAGCATATGCTTTGTCCTTTTCCTAATGGCTCTTTTAATTTTCTATAGAATCAGGGACCTGAATTCTCCATCTGAATTACATGCTTGACTTGCAATCAATTCACAAAGAAGTAGTTCATATAAGGGAAACTCCTAAACTTTTTCTTCCCCCTGTAATTGGATCTAGTAATCTTGGGCAAGAAATAACACACTGTACTGATGAGTTACAAATGTTTCTGGTATGCTAACTTCAACCATATTTGTGTGGGAAGGTAACACCTACAGTCTTAAATATTAAAATAAAAACAGTTTCAAGAATATGCAAATCTAACGGGCCACTCATGCAGCAGCAGTGAACAAAACAGAAATCTGCTCTCTAGCTCATAGTCTAAGAAGAAGCTTTCAAAAATGAAATCAGGGATGCCAGGCGGTATGAAATACAAAGGGGAAGAAAATCAAAGTCGGGAAGAAGAATGCAATGTAACTAGGGCAAAGGTGTTTGAAGTTTTAGGGAGTGACATGGAAGGCCTCACAGAGAAGGTTCTAGATTTATTACAAAGTTCATTACAGTCTATTAGAAAGGCTATTCACGTGGAAGAGAACTTCAACTGCCTCCATTCTGACCTCAGTCTGTTATCTGATTGAGTTCTTTCAAGCTTATCTCTCCACTCAGGAAAAACACCCTGCAGGCAAGGCATTCTGGGCTAGAAACCAAAACTACCCCCTCAAGCAACAGGGACTGCCCTGAGCCAGCAAGAACCCAGTGGGGTTGACCCCAAGACAGTCATGCACCTGACCTTTCCGGCCGACCGGCTTATACCTACAACCTCTGCCCCATATTTTCCTTACCTAAGCCCAGAAGCATTTTCAGCGCTTAAGAGATGGCTCTGAGATGTCTATCTTCCCGGTGTCACCCTCACGGGAATAAATTCCTTCCTAGTTTCAGCACACTGTCTCTCTCTGCCTTTGGATTTTGTCCGTGGCCAGTAGCTGAACCTGGTCTGTATGGAACCCCTGGAGCCAGGGGCTCTGGCACCCAGGTTATGAAAGGATGTAACTGAACAGCGAATGGATAGGCAAGGCAAGGTCCACAAGTGTCTGGGCAGCGGTCCTGTCCTGTGTTCAAGCTTTTATAGCGCTCAGTCTGTAGCCCTCTTCCCCTTCCCAGAGATGAGTGCAGCCGACACCTCCAACTCTCTCATCTCATGGCTGGTTCCCTGGCGGCCAGCGCCCAGCCCTAGGTCCGTCCCCTCATTACCACAAACTCGGATGTGGTTGAAAGCGGGTTGCTGAGAATATCAAAAGACACCTCCTCTCATGTAGAAAATTCAAGGGTTTTAGGAGCTCCACACCAGAAATGAGATGAAGAACACGTATACACAATACCACAAGTATTCAAATGCAGACAGAGATATGGATAGATCGGCGCCCACACACACCTATGCTTGTAATAATTTCATCGGTCCCCTTTTGATAGGTATTTTGGTGGCCTCTAATATTCTAATAAATAGAACACTTTTTTGCCTGCTTTCTGGCACAGCAAATGTCCAATTTTCCTCCAGCACAGTGAAGTCTAACAATCATTGCTAAAATAAAAGCTACCTATTGACCCACAAGAAGAAAATAAGGGCTCAAAATTATACGGGACGCCAACAACTTCAAAGGAACCAAGGAATGAAAAGTCATTCAAGTTCTAACAGTTCTGCAGCAGACAAATGCCACAATGTGAAACAACACAGAGATGTTCGAAGAGATGCAAAATAAGCAACAGTTACTGCATTTGCCAACTGGAGGATCCTGCCCGTCCTTGGACAGAGCCCTTTCCATGGGGCACTGACCAGCTGACCAGGAGTATTTTCACAGTTGGTAAGTGAGCTGGGATTCAAAGGTTGTCAGGTTTCCACCACTGCCGCTAATTATGATTGACAACATCAAAAAGCAGGAAGGGAGGGAGAAAAAGACTTGGGCTGATTAAGTTACCATTAAAACTTTAAAAAATTTCAGGGGTGCTTGAGTGGCTGAGTTGTTTAAGCATCTGCCTTCGGCTCAGGTCAGGATCCCAGGGTCCGGGGATCAAATCCCACTTTGGGCTCCCTGCTCAGCAGGGAGCCTACTTCTCCCTCCACCACCGCTCCCTATTTGTGCTCTTTTTCTCTGACAAAGAAATAAATTCTTTTTTTAAAAAAAGTTTTATTTATTTATATGACAGAGACACAGTGAGAGAGGGAACACAAGCAGGGCAAGTGGGAGGGAGGAAGCAGGCTTCCCACTAAGCAGGGAGCCCAAGGTGGGGCTTGATTCCAGGACCCTGGGATCAACGACCTGAGCTGAAGACAGACGCTTAACAACTGAGCCACCCAAGTGCCCCAAGAAATAAATTCTTAAAAAAAAAAAAAAGTATACAGAATCAATATGAAATGTCAGTGTACATCAGGAACAATTCAAACTTCAGACTGCCACTATTTTGCATTGCACACAACACCATTATACAATCTGTGTGCTCTTACGCCACATACATTAACTTACAGACAAGTGTGTCACACTTGATCACTAGCACATTCGTTCAGTCCGTTTCAGTGCATGGGAGGCAGTTTTATGTACCATTTGGGGACATGGGCGGGGGAGGCCTTCCGATGTCAGTTCAAGGTTTGTCAGATACCATCTGACAGGGACGCAGGGCTTGTGATCTCCCACACACACGGACTGTGCTCTGTGCTACCACTGTAGGCTTTTGCCACACAGACCCTGGGATTCTGATCAGTTCTATTTTTTGTGATTTCCACCCAAAACAGAGAAAATGTACAGTGTGTTTATAACTGCATATTCCGCATTACTGAACAGAATCCTGATCTATCTTGTGGGTTTTAGGGCCTGTTTCTTCTCCATGATGTCAGCTTGGAGCCTATCTGAAAGCCATTCCTGCAGCAGAAAGGCTACAGTAACTAACTAGGGGTGGATGTGACAGAGGGACCAAATGTAACCGATCTCTCTCTCGGCTTCCAATG